CTTTGAATGCCTCTAGGGGCCAAAGTATAATATGTGGCGAAAAACAGACTTCACCATTGGAATGAGCGTCCAAAACTGTACCCATGGACCAGTTTTTATGAAAATCTAAGGGGGTCCCCCTTCCCCAAAAAACTTTGAATGCCTCTAGGGGCCAAAGTATAATATGTGGCGAAAAACAGACTTCACCGTTGGAATCAGCGTCCAAAACTGTACACATGGACCAGTTTTTATGAAAATCTAAGGGGGTCCCCCTTCGCCCCAAAAAAACTTTGAATGCCTCTAGGGGCCAAAGTATAATATGTGGCGAAAAACAGACTTCACCATTGGAATCAGCGTCCAAAACTGTACCCATGTACCAGTTTTTATGAAAATCTAAGGGGGACCGAATGTGATTCTGAAAGTGAATCTGAATGCCTCTAGGGGCAAAGTATAATATGTGGCGAAAAACAGACTTCACCATTGGAATCAGCGTCCAAAACTGTACCCATGGACCAGTTTTTATGAAAATCTAAGGGGGTCCCCCTTCCCCCAAAAAACTTTGAATGCCTCTAGGGGCCAAAGTATAATATGTGGCGAAAAACAGACTTCACCGTTGGAATCAGAGTCCAAAACTGTACACATGGACCAGTTTTTATGAAAATTTAAGGGGGTCCCCCTTCGCCCCAAAAAACTTTGAATGCCTCTAGGGGCCAAAGTATAATATATGGCGAAAAACAGACTTCACCATTGGAATCAGCGTCCAAAACTGTACCCATGGACTAGTTTTTATGAAAATCTAAGGGGGTCCCCCTTCGCCCAAAAAAAAACTTTGAATGCCTCTAGGGGCCAAAGTATAATATGTGGCGAAAAACAGACTTCACCATTGGAATCAGCGTCCAAAACTGTACCCATGGACCAGTTTTTATGAAAATCTAAGGGGGCCCGAATGTGATTCTGAAAGTGAATCTGAATGCCTCTAGGGGCAAAGTATAATATGTGGCGAAAAACAGACTTCACCATGGGAATCAGCGTCCAAAACTGTTCACATGGACAAGTTTTTATGAAAATCTAAGGGGGTCCCCCTTCCCCAAAAAACTTTGAATGCCTCTAGGGGCCAAAGTATAATATGTGGCGAAAAACAGATTTCACCATTGGAATCAGCGTCCAAAACTGTACCCATGGACCAGTTTTTATGAAAATCTAAGGGGGTCCCCCTTCGCCCAAAAAAAACTTTGAATGCCTCTAGGGGCCAAAGTATAATATGTGGCGAAAAACAGACTTCACCATTGGAATCAGCGTCCAAAACTGTACCCATGGACCAGTTTTTATGAAAATCTAAGGGGGTCCGAATGTGATTCTGAAAGTGAATCTGAATGCCTCTAGGGGCAAAGTATAATATGTGGCGAGAAACAGACTTCACCATGGGAATCAGCGTCCAAAACTGTACACATGGACAAGTTTTTATGAAAATCTAAGGGGGTCCCCCTTCCCCAAAAAACTTTGAATGCCTCTAGGGGCCAAAGTATAATATGTGGCGAAAAACAGATTTCACCATTGGAATCAGCGTCCAAAACTGTACCCATGGACCAGTTTTTATGAAAATCTAAGGGGGTCCCCCTTCGCCCAAAAAAAACTTTGAATGCCTCTAGGGGCCAAAGTATAATATGTGGCGAAAAACAGACTTCACCATTGGAATCAGCGTCCAAAACTGTACCCATGGACAAGTTTTTATGAAAATCTATGGGGTCCCCCTTCCCCCAAAAAAACTTTGAATGCCTCTAGGGGCCAAAGTATAATATGTGGCGAAAAACAGACTTCACCATTGGAATGAGCGTCCAAAACTGTACCCATGGACCAGTTTTTATGAAAATCTAAGAGGGTCCCCCTTCGCCCAAAAAAAACTTTGAATGCCTCTAGGGGCCAAAGTATAATATGTGGCGAAAAACAGACTTCACCATTGGAATCAGCGTCCAAAACTGTACCCTTGGACCAGTTTTTATGAAAATCTAAGGGGGTCCCCCTTCCCCCAAAAAACTTTGAATGCCTCTAGGGGCCAAAGTATAATATGTGGCGAAAAACAGACTTCACCGTTGGAATCAGCGTCCAAAACTGTACACATGGACCAGTTTTTATGAAAATCTAAGGGGGTCCCCCTTCGCCCCAAAAAAACTTTGAATGCCTCTAGGGGCCAAAGTATAATATGTGGCGAAAAACAGACTTCACCATTGGAATCAGCGTCCAAAACTGTACCCATGTACCAGTTTTTATGAAAATCTAAGGGGGTCCGAATGTGATTCTGAAAGTGAATCTGAATGCCTCTAGGGGCAAAGTATAATATGTGGCGAAAAACAGACTTCACCATTGGAATCAGCGTCCAAAACTGTACCCATGGACCAGTTTTTATGAAAATCTAAGGGGTCACCCTTCCCCCAAAAAACTTTGAATGCCTCTAGGGGCCAAAGTATAATATGTGGCGAAAAACAGACTTCACCGTTGGAATCAGAGTCCAAAACTGTACACATGGACCAGTTTTTATGAAAATCTAAGGGGGTCCGAATGTGATTCTGAAAGTGAATTTGAATGCCTCTAGGGGCAAAGTATAAGATGTGGCGAAAAACAGACTTCACCATTGGAATCAGCGTCCAAAACTGTACCCATGGACCAGTTTTTATGAAAATCTAAGGGGGTCCCCCTTCCCCCAAAAAACTTTGAATGCCTCTAGGGGCCAAAGTATAATATGTGGCGAAAAACAGACTTCACCGTTGGAATCAGAGTCCAAAACTGTACCCATGGACCAGTTTTTATGAAAATCTAAGGGGGTCCCCCTTCCCCAAAAAAACTTTGAATGCCTCTATAGGCCAAAGTATAATATGTGGCGAAAAACAGACTTCACCGTTGGAATCAGCGTCCAAAACTGTACACATGGACCAGTTTTTATGAAAATCTAAGAGGGTCCCCCTTCGCCCAAAAAAAAACTTTGAATGCCTCTAGGGGCCAAAGTATAATATGTGGCGAAAAACAGACTTCACCATTGGAATCAGCGTCCAAAACTGTACCCTTGGACCAGTTTTTATGAAAATCTAAGGGGGTCCCCCTTCCCCCAAAAAACTTTGAATGCCTCTAGGGGCCAAAGTATAATATGTGGCGAAAAACAGACTTCACTGTTGGAATCAGCGTCCAAAACTGTACACATGGACCAGTTTTTATGAAAATCTAAGGGGGTCCCCCTTCGCCCCAAAAAAACTTTGAATGCCTCTAGGGGCCAAAGTATAATATGTGGCGAAAAACAGACTTCACCATTGGAATCAGCGTCCAAAACTGTACCCATGTACCAGTTTTTATGAAAATCTAAGGGGGTCCGAATGTGATTCTGAAAGTGAATCTGAATGCCTCTAGGGGCAAAGTATAATATGTGGCGAAAAACAGACTTCACCATTGGAATCAGCGTCCAAAACTGTACCCATGGACCAGTTTTTATGAAAATCTAAGGGGGTCCCCCTTCCCCCAAAAAACTTTGAATGCCTCTAGGGGCCAAAGTATAATATGTGGCGAAAAACAGACTTCACCGTTGGAATCAGCGTCCAAAACTGTACACATGGACCAGTTTTTTATGAAAATCTAAGGGGGTCCCCCTTCGCCCCAAAAAAACTTTGAATGCCTCTAGGGGCCAAAGTATAATATGTGGCGAAAAACAGACTTCACCATTGGAATCAGCGTCCAAAACTGTACCCATGTATCAGTTTTTATGAAAATCTAAGGGGTCCCCCTTCGCCCAAAAAAAAAAACTTTGAATGCCTCTAGGGGCCAAATTATAATATGTGGCGAAAAACAGACTTCACCATTGGAATCAGCGTCCAAAACTGTACCCATGGACCAGTTTTTATGAAAATCTAAGGGGGTTCGAATGTGATTCTGAAAGTGAATCTGAATGCCTCTAGGGGCAAAGTATAATATGTGGCGAAAAACAGACTTCACCATGGGAATCAGCGTCCAAAACTGTACACATGGACAAGTTTTTATGAAAATCTAAGGGGGTCCCCCTTCCCCAAAAAACTTTGAATGCCTCTAGGGGCCAAAGTATAATATGTGGCGAAAAACAGATTTCACCATTGGAATCAGCGTCCAAAACTGTACCCATGGACCAGTTTTTATGAAAATCTAAGGGGGTCCCCCTTCGCCCAAAAAAAACTTTGAATGCCTCTAGGGGCCAAAGTATAATATGTGGCGAAGAACAGACTTCACCATTGGAATCAGCGTCCAAAACTGTACCCATGGACCAGTTTTTATGAAAATCTAAAGGGGTCCCCCTTCCCCAAAAAAACTTTGAATGCCTCTAGGGGCCAAAGTATAATATGTGGCGAAAAACAGACTTCACCGTTGGAATCAGCGTCCAAAACTGTACACATGGACCAGTTTTTATGAAAATCTAAGGGGGTCCCCCTTCGCCCCAAAAAAACTTTGAATGCCTCTAGGGGCCAAAGTATAATATGTGGCGAAAAACAGACTTCACCATTGGAATGAGCGTCCAAAACTGTACCCATGGACCAGTTTTTATGAAAATCTAAGGGGGTCCGAATGTGATTCTGAAAGTGAATCTGAATCTGAGGCTGTCTTGACAGACGTCAACACACAGCGGTCGCTGTGTGCGGTGACGGAAGGCTGAAGTAGGGACGTAGTGGGCGGAGCTTGGAGGCTGTGTGCGGTCCGACCGCACACAGGGCCCGTGAACAGCCCTCTGAAAATTACCACATTTAGGTACGCAGGGTATATTGAATTAGGCATTTACGTAGAATCACCGAGGTAGAAAATATGGTTAGTGCGACATCTATGCGTGCTTAAATATAGCACTAGTTACAGCAATCAACGTTGAAAACAGGTGGCGCTACCAACTTTTATTTGAAGAAAATGACGTCAATATATGACGCCAATTTTTCTTAAGTTTTTCTTTTGAGGTTCTGAAAGAATATATGCTTGTTTTTTAAATAAGATTCAACTTAAATGTGTTTTAAGCAGAAATAAAGAGCGCAGTTTCTATCTAAGAAGGCATTGTACTGAATGTTTTCTTGATTAGCACAGGCGTTGTCTTGACGTCCAATGCTCGCTGACCATTCATTTGATGTATCCTTGGCCCGGCATCGGGGAGGGGAATCGCCGCGCAACGGCCTTGGGGTGGTGACGATGAGTCATTGAAGTATAAAGTTGTTGGAGCATAAAGGAGTTTGATCTTTTCTTTGGTACAAATCGTGAGTTTGTAATGTTCCCTCCATTTGATTCGTGATACCAGAGGGTTCTAATTAGAACTGTGCACTTGCTGTTTTTAGTTTTCCAATCGTATCGCTTGCGCAGCTAGGTGGGGTGCGTCAAGTTCATGAACCGCCCATTGGGCACGTCAAATAACTCGGCCAAGATGACGGAATACAAATTAGTTGTTGTTGGCGGTAAGTCCTTTTCTTTTTACATGCATATGTGTTGTTGTCGCCTCGTTTTTCTTTATTTTTCTTTGACAGTTTTAATTGTTTGAAACCACCTGTAGTAATAGTTGTGCGACATTACTATTATTGTGCTCTGCTATAAAAATGGCACTGTTTTACTGAAAAATTAAATGATGCTGAAAATGGTAAGATATTTCATGCAGTTTTATTGAAGTTTTTAAGATCATTGTCATGATTGGTAATGGTAGGTACGAGCAGTCTCGACTTACGGGTAGCTTATTAACTATTTGCTGTTGTCTTATTCATTAAGTGTTGCAGTAGATAACATTTGTATTTTTAACTGATGTGTTTTGTTGATGCTGTTTAAAGCAATTTTCAAAATCTATCTTGAATAGCTTGGATTTTATGGCAGAACCCCCACAGCCTGTTACAGGTGTTATGACCCAACAGCAGTTGCCTGATAGAAAAATTTCTTGAAAGTGGGTAGGTAGTCCTCACTTACTTGTCAGCCTCATTTATTTAGCTGTACTGATAACAGCCACTACTGTCATTAATTTCAGGCTACCTTTCCCTGTCCAGAATGAGTGGCAAGTGCTAAAAGGGCCTAAATAGATCTTTTAGTATTTGCCAGCTCAGGAGATAATTGTTTCCCATATGAAGCACTGTAGCAGTACCTACCTGCATTACTTGATGGATACCTAATAGAATGATGATATGTAACCCATGCTGAACCTCTACCAGCATCAGATACCCATTTATGTACATGTATGAGAAGCTTGCAGCTATTATGGTTTAGCAGAAACCTTGTTTTGTTTTGTATAGTATTGTTTGATGAGTCTAGATTTTACTCCATTTTTGTAGCTGATTACTTGCTAATACAAGACAACTGAAGACTCTTGCTATTAACAAAATATTGTTTTTATGTTTTACTGGTATGAGCTGTAGAGGTATTACAGAAGCCTGTAAGGTAATGTTGAAATGTATCAGTATCAGCTTTTGGCCAGTGTTTAGGATCAGAGCGAGGGATAAGGATTCAGCGTGTGTGTGATTTTCATAAGGACTAGTTGAACACTGTTGTACTGTTGTTGGTGTTCTCATAAAGGAGCTCTTATGCAGGGTGATGATTATTTGGTGTGAGAGGGCACACCAGAGCTGTTACGAAGGAGCCACTGGCTGGTGTCTGCTGATGTCCTAACGTGACATCGTTGTGTCTGTTGGCAGCTGGAGGCGTTGGAAAGAGTGCCCTCACCATTCAGCTTATTCAGAATCAGTGAGTATAAGTATGCTAGGGTACAGGACTGCAGGTGCACATTGGAAAGGGGATTCAAATCCTAATGTGCCTTATGCTCTAGGTACCTTTGACTGCACTATAAAGCTGTGACTAGTCTGGCACCACATTAACATCTCTATGTTATGATCTCACAATGTTTATGTGTTTTATGAACGTTTTTCTGCGGTTTTGTTTCAGTTTTGTGGACGAATATGACCCGACGATCGAGGACTCGTACAGAAAACAGGTGGTCATTGACGCCGAGACGTGCTTGCTCGATATCCTGGACACGGCCGGTCAGGAGGAGTACAGGTCAGTGACCTAGGGATTAGAGAGGTGCAGCGCAGTGACCTGGGATTAGGGGGGCCACCACCTCCTAGGCTGGTGATGAGGGAGTTGAAACTTACCTTTGGAAACAGGGCGCTGTTCGGTCGCAGTTTTTTTTTATCAGGCTGCGAGCATGCTGCTGCTTCTTGGCTCCTCATTGGTCGAATTCAAGTGGTCTATTCGTTAGACCAATGAGAGGCCAGGAAGCGCCAACAATAACTTCCTTATATGGGGAAAACCGACAGCACGGTGATATAAAAACAGAGACCGAACAGAGCTCAGGTCGTGTAAGACTTTCTGACAGACGTTTAGAAAAGAACGTATTAGATGCATCGGAGTCGTCGGTAGGGCTCGTGAAGCGCTGGAGATGAACATTGAACAGAATGCCTATGTCCAGTCACAGTATCATGGAAATACTTTGTAGCTTACTTGCAGTTGTAATTTGCAAGCTGTTATGATATGCTCATGACTTTCCATAATGGAAATTCGGCATTTGTCGCCACAGCATGTTTGAAACAGTGAAAAGTCAATCCTTCGTGACGCCTCAGTGCAGCCATCGGCTCACCCGTCCCTGATTCTAGATGACCTGACCTGACCTGACATGCGCTGCTCGCTCTGCCCACAGCGCCATGCGTGACCAGTACATGCGGACCGGCGAGGGTTTCCTGCTAGTATTCGCCGTCAACAATTCAAAGTCGTTCGAGGACATCAGCAGCTATAGAGAACAGATCAAACGGGTGAAGGACGCAGACATTGTGCCCATGATCCGTGAGTATGGGATCGGCAGCGCGCCGCTGACAGAACTCGCGGCGGGGAACAGGGGTTCTATGTACACAGGGGCTGTGATCTGTGTCTTGGAAGCTAACAGTTTTTTTTTCAACCCAATGGGGCGGAATAGACAGCTCTTTGGTCGAGTATTGTGTCGTTTTTTTATTGTCAGGTAGATATGGGGACCTCCATGTCGATGGCTCTGTTGGTGGACGGACATGGTCCCCGTCACCGGCCCCCTTGCCGGCCAGGGGTTCGTTGTCACCACCGCTGGGTCACACCGGGGCTACCCAGTGCCGCGGGCGGCCCTTCCCCCCCCCCCCCCCTCCTGGCCTGCCCCCGCGCCGGGTCGATATGGCCCCGCTGGATGCAATATTGAGCATCTCGTCACGCAGCTGAGTCTGGAGTGTTTAGCGTGTCCGTTCGCTACCGTTCACTGCCTCGACAGGCATGGACACAGGACAGACATGGTGAAATTACCCTCGAAATGATAACGTATTCAATGCAATAAGCGTCTAATTTCCTGGCTACTCTTGATCAACGTCGCTCATATACTTTGCTTTATTTAAGATGCGCACTAGTGCTTTTTTCAGTCCCAGTGTGTCTATTTGAATACAATCAGGGAAATTCGTCATTTAAAGCAAGTTAGATTAGATATTTTATTGCGCATATACTTTGTCAAGCGCTACATCGGGGAAAAATAAAGGCTACCTAACGCTTGTCTGCTATTGAGTCAGACATACAGACATGTCCGGACAGTGCATTAAGCGAACGTCCACGGCTTGTTCGACCAGCCTAATCGCCGGGGGTATTATCCCCTCGTCAGCTGGTGCTCCCTGTGGCGGGGGGGGGGGGGTGGCGGGGGCGAGCCGCCTGCCCAGTGACGACCCCTCGGACTGCCCCGGGCGGCAGCAGGCGGGGGCGGCCCGGTCGCGGCCCGCCGCTCAGGAAGACACGAGCGCCGGCCGGCGGCTCGGGGGATAAACTCGTCTGCCGGCGGAATCGATGGTGCTTAATGCGTTATTGTAGGGGCGGTTGTCAGGTGACCGATCGGGCGGGATCCCTTCCCGGAGATCTGTCGCACGGCCGCCGTCTGGTGGGATTACGGGCGGTATTTGTGGACCGTTGGTGGGTAGTGGGATGATGGTGGGTGGACGAGCGTTACTCCCGATACGGTGACATTTCATCACAGTGTCCCGCTAGGGTACAGTCCACGGCATAAGTAATGTGCGGTTTCAGTCCTGGGTATGTTCTGCTTCTGAAGCTTAGGAATGATTAGCCAGACTACAATGAAACTTTAAATGTAGCTAACCTGTATCGTTACCCTTGCAGCTGCAACTTCATCTATTGACGTCTTCTTTTCGATCACTCCGCATTCAAAAATCGCCGGTCAAAGCCATCCGTTGAGATTGGTAAAACCGCACATTACTTTAGCGGTGGGCTGTACGGTGTTTAATCAACGGGCAAGAAGCGGATGTTGAGTGCCGACTAGAAGAAACTTGTTACAGATGTTCTTTATGGATTGTGTGCAACAATTTTCAACTGCAGACCTCGTTGGGTCTTTTTTCTTCCCTGTCGTTCTGCTGATGCTGTCATTTGTCGTGCTGTTTGTCGTTAGGCTGTGCTTTTGACAGTGCCTACCCTAGTCCGTTTCATTGGCCGTGCAGCCTATCTTTGCCCTCTGGCTATATGTGGTCCCAGCATTACAGCGATCCCACCGCGCTCCCGTTTCAGTGGTGGGCAACAAGTGTGACCTGGCCACGCGGGCCGTCGACATGAACGAGGCCAAGGAGGTGGCCAAAAACTACGGCATTCCCTTCATCGAGACGTCAGCCAAGACGCGGATGGGGGTGGACGACGCCTTCTACACATTAGTCCGAGAGATTAAACGGGATGTGAGTACTGCCGCGGGGCGTTCTTGGCCCCAGCAGAGCCCGATTCCGTCCACAAACCTTTCCCGAACTGTGGCGTGGAACACTCGGGCTTTTTCCTTTTTACTCGAGTGAGGTTTGATTAGCCCCTACCTCACTCGTGAGCCCCTATCAGTCCATACGAATGGCTACGATACCGTTCTTGTGATTGATGCGTCTGTATGAAACCATTCCAGAACAGCACTGCTGGTAGTGTAGGTTTATTGATTTATTGATACCTTACTCGTCCAATTGCCAACTGAACGTTTGGCATGTTCCAAGCGTGAGTCATGATCTTTGTGCCATTTTCTGACCGTGTCCCGTATTCTGTGTGCCATTTTCTGACCGCGTGCTGTTTCGGTGTTGCAGAAGGAGCGGCGAGGGAGGGAGAAGGGCAAGGTCGGCTACCTGGGCCGGAAGAAGTTGTGTTGCCTGCTGTAGCGCGCGCGCCGCCCGTCCGACCGGCCGCCGGGCCGCGTCACGCACAATGGAGGCGCGTCCCGCGCCGCGCCGCGCCGCCAACTCTCTGTCTGTCTGTCCGCCTGTTGGTCCGGTCTGCCGGCCGACGGTGGACCGGCTGGCGCCCGCCCGCCGCTGTGTCCGTCTCGGTTAGAAGTGGTCTAGCTCTGTAAGTAATACCCGACTGTCGGACGGCCGCTGCCTTTCCGGGCCATCTGCCGGTCTCGGGCGCGCCGCCCCAGCTCCCGGACAGCTAGCCACTCGGTCGGGTCTCTCCGGCCCTGCTCTCCGCTGCAGCCAGCAGGCTTTTTTGAATGTTTTCCTCGGCTGGTGCCGGCGCGTGCGTCACCAATTCCAGGCTCCTGCCGCGGCGACCTGCTGCGTCGCGACCGCCGGGAGCGCGCGCGCGTGCGTGCGCGTGTGTTTTTCTCTGTGTGCGCGCCGCGCTGTTCGAGCTGAGTTGAGTCAGAGAGGTGGCCGCGGGCGTTTTGTACCGACTGTGGGGCGGCGGGACGGTGCCCGGCGGCCGCCGGCGGAGGCCGGGCCGCTCACAGCCGCCGGCGGCCGCCGCCGCCGCCGTCCCCACCGCCGGCAGCCTGTCTGCTAGAGGGCGCCGCCGCCGGCTGCCCGACGCGCTAACACTGGGGGCGGTCTCTTTTTACTTCTGTCTGTCCGGCACTCTGATCGGTTTTGCCGTCTCCGTCTGACTGCCCGTCTCTGTGTTTCTGGATTCTGTGCACCGTCTCTCTTTCTCTCCGTCTAATGCCTGTGATTCTCCCCTCTCGCCGCGTCTCTTGCGGTCGACAGCTGGATTCTCTGTGTTCTGACTGGTGCTAAATGTAGTATTTCAATTTATAAAGATTGCTAAGTGAGATGACGGTGTGTTTGGCGCTGAGGCGGGTGGGTGCTGGGACGAGGGTGTGCAGTCGGCTGCTGGGAGTAGGTGGTCCTACGAGTTGTTGGAATATCGGAGACGTTAGGAGTGCAAGTGCGAAAAAACTAGTGATGCATTGCTTTCCTCCGTGAAGCTGCTGGTCTGTAGTGTGTTTTTTTTTTGCGACAGGCGTAAACTAGTGCTAGTTTGCAATGTATGAGCATGGTGTTCCTTATTCAGGAACGTTTTAGGGGTCATGAATTATGGCCACTAAAAGATGAGACTTCACTAGAAAATCGAAGTGATTACAGTTCGCTCGTACATAATGTATTTGTCACACCACGTCATTCGCTCACATTTCACATGCACACTAAAGCTATCGCTCGCACAGTCGCGAGTTCCACGGGGTCGCATGACAGAACCGTTCACTCGCTGGCGGAGAGCCATCGAGTCTTATCTCAGCTCGCAGGCAGTACCACGAACACTATGATACACCGATTCTCCCAAATACTGACGTCTGAGACCGCACGCATATTTATCCTAACAATGAACACGAATGGCGACAAGACGGTGCCCGGTTAGTTCAGAAACCGGGCTTCTATTCACCGATTCCGCTTTGACACTTCCGTCATGACGGGATTTTTCGACGGCACCCATCGGCCCTCCCCTCCCTCGTCCAATCCCTAGCTGTCTTACATCTCACGTCCACCTAGATTTCCTACTGAGAGTCTGGAACAGATCGTCTACATCCTCAATATCATCCTGATGCTCCAGTCTGAAGTCGGAGTCGTAGTATTGATAATCGTAGTCGGCGTCTCCGGTCCGGCCTCCTCCAGCTCTCCCTGGCGAGCTGGATGCGAACAGAATCTCCGAGAGCCGGGCCTCCGGCGCACGTGTTGTGGAGCGCGTCCCCCGGCTGAAGGCGATCGGGCTGGTGTTTCGTGAGCGGCCGGTCCGCTCGGCAGCCAGCTCGTTGACGTCGTTCAGACGGCGGGTTTGGAGGTCGGTGGGTAGTGCCGAGCTCAGTTGTAGCTTGGGTCGCAGGAAGAAGCCGCCGCTCTGACGGCCTATATTAGAGGCTTCTTTGTTGGTGGGAAGTGTGCTGACCTCGGTGGTCGGTGCCGGGGTGGTGGTCGGAGCTGGTGGGACGGTGGGAGGGACGGTGACGGCCGGACGGGTCCGTGGGGGTGGCGCGGCTGTAGTAGGGGTCTCTGTAGTAGTGGTAGTGGTTGTGGGACGCCGTGTGGTGGTGGTCCTCCGGCGGCCTCCCACCCTCGGCCGACGGCTTGGCCTGCCGCGCACTCGGATCCTCTTCCTGATGATCTGCGGCGTGGTGACTGCGGCTGCGGTTGTGGGTGCAGCTGTGGGACGCCGCGGCGCCGGCCGGGTGGGCGGCGGTCCACGCGCGATCAGCAGCGGCGCCGGCGTGGTGCCGCGGTCCGGCAGCTTCTGACGCCGAGACGAGCTGTCGATGGACCTGTTGTTGGCCTCGGGTCCATTCCTGAAGCGGCGGTCCTCCCGTTCCAGCTCCTCCAGCAGCTCCTGCTCGTCCAGCAGGTTCAGCTGGTCGGTCAGCGCCTCCACATCCGCGATGTCGGAGATAGAGCTCAGCTGAGGCGGCAGAGTGGGCGGCGGCACTGTAGGCGGTGCCAGCCGGCCCCGACCGCCGCGAGTTCTCACATACTGGGTCGGGCTCAGGTCACCGCCGGGTAGACGCGGGTCGAACCGGCGACTGCCGCGGCCGCGGCTGCGCGAGCGCGGCGTGGGTTTGCGCGTCGGTGCGCTGTCGATCTCGTTGGTGAGCTCGGCGGGCGGGGTGGTGGTAGGCCGCGGCACGGGACGGGCTACCGCCGGCCGCCGGCTGGGACTCAACACACCGACCGCAGCGCTCGGAGCAGCGGCACTGGGGCTGACAGAGGGCGCCACAGCGGCCGCCGGGCTGACCCCAGTCACCGGCTCGGCGCTGGGCCGGACCCGGGAGCCGCCGCGCCACCGCGAGCCGCGCCTCCTGCTGACGATGGCGCCCTCTGAGGCCGGCGCGGCGGTGGTGGCGGCCGACGGCCGACGGCGGCGGAAGCTGGCCCTGGCTCCTCCAGAGGGCTGGGCTGTGCTTGGTGCTCTGCCGCCGGAGAACCTCGTCGACGGGCTACGAGTCGGCACGGTGGCGCTGAAACGACCACCGGGCGGCGCGGTGGTCACCTCCAGTCGACCTCTGCCGATCCCATTACCACTGCTCTCATCCTTGACTCTGGTGTTGATGTCATTGATATCATTTATGTCATTGACATCACCGAAGCTCTCTGAGCTGTCAACATTCTGCCGGGTTTGCCCTCTGCCTCCAAATGTGGCCCTGCCGCTGGTTGAAGCCACATTCGGCACGACACTGGCTCCGAAGAAGCTGCCTGCCGCCGGACTGACCGTCCGTGCGGACTCGGTGGGGGCCTGACTCGGTCGAGTCGTCGGCAGCGGCGTGCCGCGCACGAATGGTGACGCGGGTGAGACGGACACGACGCGGAACGGCGCCGGTGTCGTCGGTGGCAGTGTGCGAGCGGTGAACGACCTCGGTGTGCTGCTGACGGAGACTCCTGTCCTGCGGTCGGTTCCGCCAAACTGCCTACGTGAGTCACCTGAGTTCAACTCTTGCTCGCGGAGGTCGTTGGTGAGCTCTGGCAGCTCGGGTGGCGCTGTAACAGCGGTCGTGGGAGAACCAGCCGTCGGCGCTACCGGCGCTCTGCTCGACACGCCCGTGCCGAACGAGAACGACCCGCCGCGGCCGAAGGCGAAGTTGGTGCGTGGCACGCTGGTGAATCCGAACGGGAACCGGCCGGTGGTCGTGAACACGGGGACGGGTGTGCTGAACGAGCCGCCAGCCGCGGCGGGGGCGGCTGTCGGCAGTGGCGGAGCCGGAGTTGTGAACGTCGGCACGGGCCGCGGCGAGGTGGCACGGAACTCTCCCAGGGTGACCCGGGCCACGTCTTGTCCGACCGGGGCAGAGGTCGGGGTCGAGGTCGGGGCAGGCGCCGGAGGGACTCTCGAAGTCTCAGCGGGGGCTGGAGCCAGCGGCGGCAGCGGTGTCGGCAGCAGCGGTCGACGGGACGGCGCGCGCTGCGCCGGAGCCGTGCTCGCAGTGGCGAATGTGCTCTGGTCACGGAAACTGACGCTGTCGGTGGCAGCCGCCGGATGGGGCGTGGTGGCCGCCGTGCTCAGGTCAAACCTCCGCGGGGCGCGCGAGGCCGGCTGGCGCGTCACCGGAGCGGCCGTGACCCGCCGCGAGCCGCCACCACCGCCGAAGAACCGTCCGGCGCCGGACGACGTCCCCTGGAAACCAGAATCGTAATCCTCCAGCTCGGGCAGATCCTCCTCATCAAGTGCGTTGAACTCCACTTCATTTTCCGATCCCTTTTTGAAGATCTCGAAGTTGCGCGCGTACAGGACCGTGGATCGGTCGCAACTGACTTGGAACCAGTTGGCGCAGATCAGGTGCTGCTGGTCGAACACGGTGTTGTTCGGGCACAGGAACCGGAAACTGGTCCTCTGCCGACGAGACACGCAGCATCAGATCAGGTCAGGTCACGAGGTTAGGTCACTCACATCGACCGAATCCAACGAACGCTTCCAATTATCCATACAATGAATACATGGGCCAAGAGAACACTGCATTAGAGCGTGGTATTACTGACGCTGTTGACACTAGTTAACGAAGCTCTGCAACAGGTCGCGGCCCGGCCTCTTGCCGAGCCGAGTTGTCGGTCGTATGGTCGTGAATAGTGGCCGTTTTATTGCCCATTGTCATGCTGGCGGACGTTCGCGCCGGGGTGGCCGCCGAGGTCTCCCCGCTCGAACCGCGGCACTATGGGCACAAGTTATGAATACTGAGGCCCGTTTGACAATGCAGTGACGCTGCAAGTGAAATTGATGGGCCTTTGGTTGCTGGAGCTTGTCGGCTACGCTTTCTTTCAGATGGGGAGCTCGACACTTACATCGATGATGAGTTCTTGCGACAGAAGAAACGTTTACAACTCGCAGCCTCTCAGCATTATCGGCCGTTATTTCATCGATAAAGTGTTTTAATGATAACTATTACGGAAAAAGTGCAACGACTGGGGAGTCCTTCGTTTAGTGGGGTTCGACACGCCTACATCATAACGTTATCGATACTTTTTAATCGGAATCACTTCATTAGTTTTCAATGAAGCTTCAGAGGTCAACGTAAGTGGTTTACGTACGGAATAAAAGTTACCAACAATTTATATAACAACATTTTATCCTCGACATAACTGTCACATAATGTTCTGCTCATTACTCTGGACACATTTCCATGGTCTGTAACATTGAAGACGGAGATTCCCGGCTATTCCTATTCCATTTAAAATGTCGCTGTAATCTGAATTTTGTTAAAATGCTTGTTTTTGATATCAGTTATATCGTTATTCAGGGCACCAATCTACCCCGTGTCTATTAGCCGTCATCGCTGCCGGTCCGATGAACGGTTATCCCCCTGGGATGGCCAATGGCCATGTGTCACCCCATGGACAGTGACCCGTCACAGTCTGGTAATCGGACGTGGTCGTCTGTCCCTCCGGGGCTGGGCCGGCTCAGTCGGCGTCTGCAACAAGTCACAGATAAAGTCACTGCTGTTCGGTCACTGCGGTCATTGCTGAGTCACTGCGGCTCCTGAGGTCACTGCGGTCTGCATGGTTACATTAGGGTCGCTGCAGCTCGCTCGGTCACAGTAGTTCACTCGGTTACTGTAAAATGTCGCTCGTCCACCAGCCGTCAGCTCTCCAGCTCAGTCTCTGCAGGTCCTCCAGGCTCCAGCAGCAGCCCATCCGTCGTCTATCCGTAGGTACCTCTGCTCCGTCCTCCTCTCGGTCCGTCGCTCGGCTCGTTCGACCGACCTTCCGTCCCCACTCCCCCGCCGTTACCTGAGACGTGCCGCACACGTGAAACATCTGGCAGCCCGCCTCCACGTCGGCGTAGTAGCCGCCCACCACGCGGCCCTCGCAGCTGAAACTCGTCTCCGGCAGCGCGTCGTAGCTGTAATTGGGCGGCGGCTGTTGTGACGTCACCAGAGTCAGCAGTGACGTCATCACTAGCAGCACTGAAAAACAAAGGGAAAGGTTAGAATTGGGCTACACTGAAGCTAGAATTGCTCTTTGCAACGTCTTTCACGGGTTGTGTGCATCACGAATTATGACTTACATTCGGGTGAAGGCATGAAATGAGTCTATTGTGTTGGGAATTGGGATAATGTGTTACTGGACTTTAGGAAGGTAGACTAAGATGGGACACGTTTGTCGGCATGTAATATGGTATATGCTAACTGCTAGCTATGTGTTTGTGGGCCGTTGTTAGATGGCTGTAGTTATTCGATCTATTCATGTACGAGTGTACTCGTACTTTATGTGTTTATATACGGTGCCGATGTAATTACTCGGTGGGTGCACTTTTGCAGGCCGAAGTGTTTGTGTCCAGTCACATGTTACAGGAAGGTAAATAGCCTTTTGCAGTCGTAGACAAACACTTGCCGTTGGCTTATCTCGAAACTCCTCAGACCGATTTGCATGTAGCTTTAGAGGTCTTGATTTGATGCATCATATTCCAATCAGTACCTAGCTATGGTTCATGAACGTTTCCTTTGTAGCATCGTGGTGTCGATAGATAATTCTAACTGGGAGACGCTCATGAGGCGATGAGTGGGTTCTTATTTATTGATAATTTTTACACACGTCTCTATCTGATAGCGGGCATCACGCTCTTACACGAGTCCGCCGGACATCTCCATTCAATTGAGCAAGAGACGTGAAATCATTCACGGAGTAGGAGCACTCAATTACTCATCAATGAACGAGCCTCGATCGGGCCGGCTATGTGTTCTGTGCACGCATGACATTGAGGCCGGCGGCGGGTGCCGATCGGATCTCGGCAGGGGTCACCCGCTCACGGTCGGCGCCGCAGAGTGCCGGTCACAGAGCCGGCGAGCCGCCCAGCCCTGTGTGTACCGTACCGAGCGCTCGTGACGACCGCGCCACACTGCGGCCGACGAACGGTGTAATTTGTGTGATAAACGGACGGCCAACATGGCAGGCCCGCTGGGATTCGCCGCCGCTGCGCCGTCCCGCGAACCCCGGCCCGGGTCAGAGGTCAGGGGCCGCGCGACGCTTAAATATAGGTCGCGGTCAGGTCGTATTTTGTCGTCGATTTCTTCATACCGGTGGGAGAAGCCATTACATTGCTGAGCGAGTCCAGGGATTCTGATATGATCGATTTGTGACTGCTCGCTCTCAGCTCGTTCTCAGGCACTTACGTGCGTGCGTCACAATAGCTATCGTGTAACCGATCCCGTAACATTTTGAAAGGTGGGTCGCCATATTGTTCAGTCTGGGAGGCACATTCGTCAGTATTACAGGTCAGTTTTTGCGCTGAGCGTCCTTTCCGTCGTTTTCCGTCTGTGACACATGTCCAAAGCTCAGCCCCGCCCCCTCAGCCGAGCCAGGTCACGGGCAAAACGCTCCAGATTGGCCCATCTGCTGAGCCCATCAGCCCGGCGGCAAGGTAGCTGCTCGTCCTAGGAGCGCTCCCTGCCCCGCCCCCGCCCCGTCTCCATACCGCACTCCCCACCCGAGCCGCTGCGGTTCAGGAGAGCACGGTCACGGAGCACCCGGGGCTCTGCCGCCGGGTAGACGGCTATTGGACGGGAACCAGAGACTCCGGGACAGAAAATGTAAATGCACGACTGCAACTGCAGACGAAGTGGTGTGGTGTAACACTTATGCTAATATGGGAACAACCAATGGGTCACTGGAATGTCCACAACCGTGGCGATATACATGGGTGCTATCATTTTCTCATTTGGACGAAATCATCCCAGTTCGGTGACGGGATGATTAAACAGAACATCTCAGCCCGCATCTGAGGCTGCCCAGCCCTGTGGGCCGTTCATCGCACCGACGAGCCTTACACAACCCGACACCGTCAGAGTGATGCGTCTCGAGCCGCCGGGGGCCGTGGCCCGCGCCCCACCGTCGCTCGCTCCGGGCGGCGCGTGGTGAAATGACGATTGCCCCCTGACCTTCCCAATCCGAGAGCACAGAGGAATCCCAATAATCATCATGAGCGGCCGGCGCGGGCCACGGCGGCCGGTGTGGCAACCGGAGCGCTCAGGTCGTCGGCAGAGACGTTACCGTTGCTCCGCCTCACCCGAGAGCTTTGTGTTCCGCCACCGTGTTCTCGCCGTCGTTCCCGCGCTGTCTGTGCAGTCCCGCCGTTTTCCGTTACGGTCGCGACGCGCCGGGCGCGGAAGCGGCGCGTGCCAGCCGTGAATGGCGCGGCGATGACAGATGACGACACCACGGCGGCATTGGCGACGATCCGCGGCGGGGGCGGGGGCGGCACCTGTCGGAAGGCGGCGGCGGCGGGAGCGGCGGTCGTATCACCCCGCGGCGTGACCGGGCGGTTTGGAGGGTGGGAACATTGGTAAACAGCGATGATTGGATGCGGTATAGGACCGCTGATGGATTGCGGTGAATGCTGCTGACGGACTGGTTGGGACTGGTGACAGTGGTTGGGACTGATGACTGGCTGGTTGGGGACTGGTGATGGGCTGTTATGTACTGGTGACGGGCTGGTTGGGGACTGGTGGTGGGCCGTTATAGACTAGTGACGGGCTGGTTGGGACTGATGACGGGCTGGTTGGGACTGGTGTTGGGCTGTGGTGAGGATTCGCGATGGCAGCAACTGGTGAGGAGCTGTGGTGGTGATGGCATGTGGTCGACACTGGAGACGGCTGTGGCAAGACATTGCGATGGTCTTCGGAGGTGACGGGATATGATGAGTTGCAGACGGTACCTACTACTGCTAATAATGAACGTAGAACCATCAGTCACACCTCGACGGCAATATGTATGTTGCAATGGCCTCCCAAAATGCGACACAGTAACCGTCTGTAGTGTGTCACAGTGTCCGTTTGCAGTGTGTCGCGGCTGCCGCCTTGGATCGACTGACGGCCACAGAACGGTAGAGATGGGTGCGGCGATGGAGCGGTGTTGACTCTGGCCTTTCACACGGCCTCCGTTCAATTTTGATAGCCGCGAAGGGGTCGCGCCCGCATAATGACTTTGCGGTTCAGGGAATAGACCATACCACAAGTGGATTGATTGCCTAATACAATCAGTGAGTCCGCGAGATTGGCCTCTGTACCGAGCGCCGTTGATGGTATAAGGCGCCAACCAGCAGGGATTGACTGAGCGAGTTGGAAAGCCCCTCTCGAGCTCATTTAATAAGGTCACCTCGGGTAATTTGAATGCATGGTTAAAGGGACACTCCCACCTTAACATTAGTTTTGAGTTGAGATAGCCAAATTGGTGGCCATGGCCTGCAAATACCGGTTTGGGCACTCACAACATCGAAAAATGCTTTAATTCGAAGATATGGAATTTCAAACTTGCAGTTTTCGGATTCTAAGGGGCTAATGCATTGGAATGCCCCCTTAGAATTTGTGACGTCAGCGGAGATCTAACGATTTTTAAATCTTAGACTAAAACCATCGTTAACACGTGGTGGTATACGCTGCTTTGCGCGCAACGTCTGCCGCACTTTAAGGCTGCCAAATTATTGCTTCCAAATAAAGTCGCTAGTAACAGGGGAGATCCCAAAAAGTAAACAAAAGTAAAAGCCTAATATCTTGAAAACCAGTGAATATTTTTCGGTGAAATTTCGTAGATATTCGTTTTCGCTCTTTCTGAACCAAGGGACATCACTTTCATGCCAATTCATTAACTTTTTTGAAGGTGGGAGGGTCCCTTTAACATATATTTAGCATTTTATGTAGAAAGATGTAGGCATACGTATCATTTTATGGGACGTTTTTGTAAATTTCGGAATACGGCAGAGGATTTGCGTTTTTAGGTATAACGCAAAAGAGCGCAAGTTTCAGAAGCATGCTTGTTGGCAGCATCGCTCGTTCAGAACCGTTTTAATAGTTAACGGTAAGCACACACCGACTATTATCACGCAAAGCACCATCATCATTACAAGAACTACGCAACCTTTCACTCATGCGGACGTCATAATGAGCATTGTTCGCTGGACAGCTGAACATCCACACCGGCGGTAACCTTCTCCACCCGTCATTAGCGCCGGAGCTACACGGCGTGTCCCGGGATGGTGCCGTGTATGTACAACGGTGTGCTAACGGGGACGTGTTGAACCGTCCCCGCCCGCTGAGGTGGTGCGTCGACTGCCTAATTATCACCGACTCCGGCATATAACAGCATTGTAAACTACCGGAGTTCGCCGTTCAAAGTTTAAGTGCTGCTACTGACAATGAGAGACCTGTGGAAAAGTGTGGTAAGGTGTGTTGATGCTTTTTTACAATCAGTAGCCGGTGCAAATATTTTATCAATGGAAATCATGTGCAAATGGATATGTGCTGTGATGCGCGCTTTCAGTTATACAAAGACCGTAGTGAGGGAAACTTATGAGTAGTCAGATGATGGGCGAATAAGTGAAAATTTAGCGTAGATGTTTTTGCAGGCCACAACATTCATTTATCGTTGTACTTACCTAGTCTTTGTGCCGCCATGCCGACCGTTTCTCCGAGGCGATTTCCTCCGGCTGCTCCCGATCGAGCTGAAAAAGGCAATCGTCAGACAGCAGAAAGGCAGCAAACATGTTACACACATATTTCCATACTCGAAATTATGTTACAAAATATAAATAACGGATGTCACTCTGGGACCTTGAGCCGAGTCATATGACAAGTAGTGGTCGAAATGGCCGATTGCCGAATCACATGACCAATAGCGAACCAAAGATGACAAGCAACGGTTATTAGCAGTGACCCAACTCCCAAGTGACCAGGTTACGTGACCAGCAGTGACTGGCAGTGTGGCCGGATCACGTTCACAGGAAGTGATGGGCTCACGCTCCCTGGAATCTCCGTGAAGGCCGGTGATGTTCCCTGCAGTGAGCCCCCTCCCTCCTTCGGCGCGCTGCGTTGAGGGCCTGTTTGTGCCGCGTCCCTCACGGCCGAGATGGGCCGATGCGAGCCCAGACCACCAATCGGTCGGTGGCGGCGGCAGGTACCGGCCTCGTCTGATGATACGTCTCCGCCGAGATCGGCCGTAGTTAGCCCGACATTAAAACCGCAAATGAAGCAGAACGGTATGCCGTCAAATGAGCTTTCCCTTTCTGGGATAGATACTAGAGAGGCCGGCTCAACGGCTTGTAGCGTGAGCGCAGGATTGAATATAATGGCCGATTGTCGGTAATGACGCCTCTACCTAAGCCCCAGTGCCGCACTTGTGAGCGATGTGGATAATCAGGCTT